AGAGTAAGTTTTGTTACTGAGTAGTGTTCAGGTGAGATGAAATTGTGAAGTAAGCAAAACCCCTTTAGATTATTTATGATTTTTTTCCCCATCATACTTTGTTGTCTAGGTTGACTAAAGCCTGGCACATATTGCCATGTTCTGTTCCTTTTAGGTCTTTTTTTTCCCCTCTGTCTTACAGCAGATTGAACCCAGGGTCTTATGCACATTAGGCAAGCAGTCTATCACTGAGTTAACATTCCATAACTCTAGCTGACCTAGAACTTTATGTAGACCAGGCTGGCCTTGAATACACAGAGATCTGCCTGCCTCTGCCTTCCGAGTGCTGGGACTAAAGTCCTGTGCCACCACACCAGGCCCTCAGTTCTATTTCTTTTTTTTTTTTAATTAAAAATATTTTTTATGCCAGGCATGGTGGTGCACGCCTTTAATCTCAGCACTCTGGAGGCAGAGGCAGGCAGATCTCTGTGAGTTCAAGGCCAGCCTGGTCTACATAGTGAGTTCCAGGACAGCTGGGGCTACAGGGAGACCCTGTCTCAAAAAGACCGAAAAAAAAAATAAAAAAAAAAATTTTTTTTATGGCCGGGCGTGGTGGCACATGCCTTTAATCCCATTACTTGTACTTGGGAGGCAGAGGCAGGCGGATCTTTGTGAGTTCAAGGCCAGCCTGGTCTACATAGTGAGTTCCAGGTCAGCTGGGGCTACAGGGAGACCCTGTCTCAAAAAGACAAAAGAAAAGAAAAGAAAAGAAAAGCTGTTGACAAAATATATTTCTTTGAGATTTAGAAGCAAAATGATAATTCTGTGTGTATGCATTTGTAATTAAACAGGAGCACTGAACTCTGAGTTTTGGGGCACATCCTTTTTGGCTTTGAAAGTTATGAATGACATCGCCAGTTCTAAAGTGTTCAGGTGCTGTGTTTCATTCATTAATATTTTTAAGTAAGAGGCTTAGTGCTTTAAAGTGGAAGTGGAGTTTGCTTTTAGAAGAAGAGTGTACATTGGTTTTAACTTCACAATGCACACAAAGGAAGAAAGGAGGAGAAGCTACCTTTGAGACTAGTTACAGAAGATAGAATTTCCTTTCCAGGAACCCAAAGGTTGAAGTTTAGAGTTCAGCTTAGAGCCTGGAAGCTTGTTTACCTAATTCTTGCCGTGTCTTGGAGTCTATCTACCGGAACTGCATGGAGGTAGGGGACGTATAATAGCTCATAAAGTGAAACCCTGAAAGGTAATAGAAATTGAAGCTTACAGAAGTTTGAACTTCCCTAAGGTTTCCTTGGATAGTGTCTGGCAGAACCAGTGATTGGATCCCACGTCTTTTGACTTGTGCGGGTTTTTTTTTTCCCCCCTTAAGAGAGTAAAGAATTCTTACAGAGTACAGCAGTTGGAGACAAAGGCAGGCAGGTATCTGTGGGCTACATAGTAAGACCCTGTCTCAAAAAAAAAATAAAATTCCTGTAGTGTGATGGCAGAATGGGAGGGTATGTGGTTTCTTCCAAAGCTCTACCACAGCACTAAGAACCTAGTTCCTTGTGCTCAGATGTAGTAGTCACTACTACAGTAACATTGTGAATAGCTTCCCATGTGCCAAGACCTTTTTCTAAGCATTTCAGTTTCATTTACTTCTCATAAAATACCCATATGTATTTAAATTTTTTTCCATTTGAGGTTTAGCATGATTAAGTGGTTAAAAAGTACAGTATAAATATTAGGAACTTTAAATATAGTCAGGAAAGCCTATATTCATTTTGTGTGTGTGTGTATGTGTGTTAGGCTGTCACTCTGTAGCTCAGGCTGTCTTCAAACTCATAGCATTTCTCGTGCTTCAGCCTCCCAAGTGCTGAAGTTATAGGTGTGAGCAGCCACCTTGCCCAGGCCCAAATTAGATTTCATCAAAAAAAATTTTTTTATTACATCTGTTTATATGTGTGTGTGCATGGGGGCATGAGTATCACAGTGTATGTGGAGGTCAGAAGACAACTTTTAAGAATAGATTCTCTCTTTCCACCATTCGGTCCTGTGAATCAAGCTCAGGTTATCAGGCTTGGCAGTAAGTGCTTTTACCCATTGAGCCATCTCACAGCCCCCAAGTTAGATTTCTCTAGCCAGTTTACGGTAGAACAAATCATTCCAAGATTATTCTATTGGTAATTGGTTTTATTGCTCTACTATTTGGTTGTCTACTTCTTTGGTCCTTCTGGACATTTTACTCAATTTAACTTATTTTGGAGTTTTGATAAAAGAGACTGGCTTTTAAATCACTGTCTGAATGAGTAAGCTACAGACACTGGGTAATAGCCGAAAGGTCTGTCTAGTGTGGATGGGATCCAGTAAAGACCTATGGATTGTTAAGAGTAAAACCAGCTACTCTCAGAAAACATAGTCTTAGGAGAATAACAATACCCCCCCGATCTTTTTTTAGTGAAAGCAAGTATAATTTATTTGACAACATTAGTGGCAAACCTAGAAGGGTATGGACCCGACTTATAAGACTTTTGTATCTGCCAAGGCACTTAATGGTTTTCAGACTCTTTTTCTGTCTGTAGCACAATCTTTTTTTGGTGTGTATGGCATGGAAAAACTTCAAGTGTCTGAGCTGTGAGACTATCTACTATAGCTTGTCATAACTGCGTTCTCTTCGCCAACTCATTTCTTTTTCCCTTTTCTTCTATGTTTATATGGACATGGGTAAGTTTTCACTTCCTATAATGGTTAGGGAGAAGACTCTCAAAGATTATGGGCAGAAGGCCTTGGACCATTTTTTTTTTTTTTTAAGGCAGGGTCCTAAAAAAATGCCAGACTGGGCTTGAACCTGTAGTTGTTTTGCTTCAGGCTTATAAGTGTTTGGATTATAGGCATTTGTCACCATGCCCTGTTTGGACTATTTAGCTTATATTATATTTGGACAGCATGGCATACAAAGAAAATGTAGGCTTTGGAAACAGCATAGACTTGGGTTTAAATTTTAAGTTTGCTATCTGCTGTTTTCTCATTTGCAATAAAACTTAACTCCCCTATGGTTGTAATAGTTGTGAGGATAATAAATGTAAAACTTCCAGTAGTTATTTTTTCACATTCCCTTTGTCTGTGGTAACAATTGGTAAAGCCCTGACTAGGAACAGGAACTTAGTATAAAAGATTCATGATGCTACAGTGACTGTCAGGCACTAGAGAAGCACTCTCTGTCCCAGAAACACTGGTCTAGGTGGGACTTCCTAGTAAACAGAGTTGGAGCAGAGAAACCAGCTCATCCACTCTTTAGAATCCAGTTATGTTCTTGATCCAGTTAATTTCATCTGCTGCTTCAGAAAATAGTTTGGGTCTGAGTCATTACAATGAAGTAATGTAATTGGAAGATTGAAACTAACTCTTGAAACAACTTACTACCTCACATTTGTATAACATATATTATCTCCCCCAGTCTTCACAGCAGCCAGGTTAGACTGGGCTGGTGGTGGTGGCATTGTGCAGAGAACGAGCACTGTTGGCTAGTGGCAGGGCCAGGACTGGGTTGGCTTGAGAGTTGTATCCTTTCTTCTGGGTCTGCTCTCTTTCAAGCAGAAAGTCTGCCCATGAATTTAGGCCTAGGAATCCAACCTCTCTCTGTACTTAACCACACTGTCCTTGTTTCCAAATAAGAGTTCTCTGGCTACCTTTAAAGCTGGGATAATGGGGACTCCAGACCTTACTTTCTGACTTAGGTTTCTGAGTGTTTTCCTTCTAGCCCCCTTTATCAAGTTAAAGTTGTGGGGGCAAAAAGTGACCATTTATGGCATGGTCATAGTTTCTCTCTGCAGCAGGGAGTGCTGTTTCTGTGTGCCCCATAGTACTGGTAGTTTGGGCTTTTATTAGCAAGAAGATTGCAGGGCGGAGGTTGCCACAGTGGTAACTGCAGTGCAGGCCTGTTTAAAATCAGCAACTGGAAGAGTCCTCTTAAGCCAAGTCCTCTTGATGTGGAAGGTTCATAGGTCACTGAGTGGTACATAGTGGATAAGGGCAAGTGTTCCAAATGAAGAAATAGACATGAAAAGGGAGCAGTTAAAACAAGCTGGGAGTGGTGATAAACTCTTGTAATTAGCTCTTGGGAGGTGGAGGCAGGAGAATAAGTAATTCAAGGACAACTTCAGCTATATACTGAGTTTGAAACCAGTCTGGGCTACATGAGACCCAGTCACTCAAAAACCAAAACAACAACAAAAAAGAATACTTATTAAAGAATGATCTTGGAGTGGTCTCTTGGAATGTAGGGTGGGAGTAAGAGAAAGAGACATTGAGTTTTTGGCTGAATGAAGAGTAGTTGTTAAGTGATTATGGGAACCCAGAGCTAGGTAGGAGGGATTTAGGGAAGGTTCATCATGTTCTTGGATTAATTCAGGAGTTTACTGGGCACCTATTTATCAGTTTTCTCTTGGTACACTTTTGCTTACTGAATGCTGGATACATTCTAAGGCAGACAGGCCCAAGCTTTTGTGCTTGGTGGGGCTGTGGGGAGCGTGGGAAAGAGAACCTAAGCTAAAGGCTCAGCCTAGGCTAGTCTCCACATGTCTTCCCAACCCTGACTATTGCTTTGGTTTCTCAATGTCTTTGTGGGCATGCTGGGACTGAGCTTTGAGGTTTCTGCCTTAAGGGTGGGAAGGAGGGGGAAGGGCATTCTAACAGCAAAATTTCCCCCCCAATTTGCTTGCCTGGAACAGAGGATGTGTGGGTTTTTAATCCATATTATAACCTGTTCTGGTTCTGTATGGAATTATAGGTAGAGGAACTCTGATATACTAGTAGAATCCATGTTTTAATTAAACCTATACCCAAGGCCCAAGTATCTGAACACAGCAAAGTTTAAAGGGCATCTGCCACATTAAGCAATTCCAAATTTTATTTTAAATTACTCCCTTTCATTTAGAGTACATCCCTCCCCCCATTCTGCTCTTGGATTTATGCACTAGATATGTTTTATTTTCCTCAATTCTCATTCTCATTTTTCCTCAATATTTCTGCAGCACTTTCCTTCCTGCTTCCTCCTTGCTGTGGTGGCTGGGATGCTTCTTCCATGATTTTTTTGAATCTAGACTGGGCTGGTCTTTGTGCTAATCCAATCAATTACAACCCTTCTCTTAACAGGTGTGTATGGAATATGTGTTTATTAAACATTATTTTAGGTGCCTTCTTTTCCTTCAGGGGCTGGTGAGAGGGCGGGAAGTAAGAGAGAAGATTTCTTAGCCTGCTTTTCCATACTATACATTTTGAGCTGACCATAAAGTCTCTCATAGTTTGTATGAAAAAAGCCCATGAAGTCCAACAGTATTTACTAGCCAATTGGCTGTTTATAAGGATATGAGGAACCCTTCATTTCCATGTAACTACCATTTTTTTTTCAGTACTGTGGGTTGAATGTATTGCTTCATACCTGCTAGGTAAACACTGTACCATTGAGCTACATCCTTAGCTCTTTCAAAACCCTTTTTGAGACAGTCTTGCTAAGTTGCTCAAACTGGTCTTGAACCTCTGTAGCTAAGAGGCCTTGAAGTTGTAATCCTGCCTCCTAAATTGGTGAGATGACAGGCCTGTGCCAAAGACTGGGCTCGAGATAAACCCTCAGTATTGTAGTATAGGTTTGGGAAGTAGAAAGACCTCTTCATAAATGTATGAAACATGAAGGCCTTAATTTTGTTTTCCAACTTTGATGGCAGGAAGTTTTTTATATTTCTCTTTCTTAACTAGCATTTTAATTTGGCATATTAATTTAGAGTAGTTTGCCACTACTGCTGCATTTATAGTATTCAGATTTGGGGAAGGTTAAGTAAAATCTATACTGTCCCATTATGTCTAGAACTGGTTTGTCCCTTTAGGACAGTCATGTACCATGGAGTTAAAACTTTTACTAAACTGATGCCAGCAAAATTTTTCAGGGGAAGAGAACCCAATTTCAAATTTCATGTCATGAGTGCAGCGTTTAGCCACACTATCGGTCTCCTGCCAATGGTGTAGAGATTTAGATCAAGCTGCACCTTCTTTATAATAAGTGTTTGGTATTGGAGAGGGCGGTAATGAGAGGGTCCTGCCAGAGGAGGCATTGGTGATGGGCTCCCAAGCTTGGTTGGTGATGGCTTGCTTTCTGCAGTGCAGTAAAACCACAGAGGGTGTCTTTGGCTCTGGGGATTAACAATTCATCTATCTTCTCTGACCTGTGATCTTTTCTCTCCTCCCATACCCTTTCCCGATAGTGTGAAGTGAGGGGGGCCTTCTCCCTTCCTTCTGCTCCCTCTGTGGTCCACCTTCCTTTTTACCCTGCTCTGCGGCGGCTCCTCCCCTTACCTTCATGGACGACTCAGAGGTGGAGTCGACCGCCAGCATCTTGGCCTCTGTGAAGGAACAAGAGGCCCAGTTTGAGAAGCTGACCCGGGCGCTGGAGGAAGAACGGCGCCACGTCTCGGCGCAACTGGAACGCGTCCGGGTCTCCCCACAAGATGCCAACCCACTCATGGCCAACGGCACCCTCACCCGTCGGCATCAGGTAACCCCTCTCTCCATCAGACTTGCAGGTAGGACTTTGGCTTGGTCACAAGAGGCAATGATCCTTAGTGAGAAGCTACTGGCCCGTTGGTGAGGGGTTGTCCTGTGCTCATACTTCCTCTGAGCTTTTCCAGGGATATGATAAATAAATACTGGTTAAGAGATAAATGCTATTGATGTTGAGCTGAGTTGGGTGGGCTGTAGAAGACCTGTGTGACTTCTTGTTTTGCTAGGGTGGGTTTTCTTGGCAAGGATACATTTCTAGTTATGGTAGGTGGTGTAGCTTGGAGCTATACTCAAGTCACTTCTGTTTTCTCTGAAATATCCCTTTTCTTGGTGTCAAAAATTCAGGGAAGTAGGTCTACTTAGTGGCTGGGCATCTTGTGCTCCCAGCTGCATCTCACTCTCCCTCAGGGAGCAATCTGTTCTCAGAAGGTGTTACAGTGTCCATATATTGTATATTCCTGTTCCATATTGTCCTTGACTACACTTTTTGTTGGCTATGTAAATCATGGTGTTGGAGGGAGGGGATTATTGTTAATTTTATTGGTTATAGTTGGAGTGTGAATATCATGGTATTATTTCACCTAGATAACCACAGGAGCCAGTGGTCTCTGGGTTGGCTGACTTTATAATGTGACTTTGTGAGAAGTATCTTGTGTTTTCTATGGCTTAACAAGTCTGACTTTGCTGTGATGTAATCTCCTGTGGTTCTGTCAGTGTGCGTGTCTTTGTGTGCGTGTTAGGCATTGCTTGATGGACTGCATCTTTAGAGATCTGTGGGTGGAAACTAGAACAGTGCTTATACTCTTACTTTAACTGATTGCTTATTTAATTTATTTTGTAGTGTTAGGGATTGACCCTAAGGCCCTGCACATCCTATTTACTTCCTTGTTTATGAGGAACTGAGGATGGAATCCAGGGCTTTGTGCATGCTGGGAAAGTGCTTTGCCACTGCAACATTCCCAGACCTTTGGGTTTTTGAAGACCAGGTGTAGGTGTAGAGCTCAGGGTGCCCTCAAACTTGTGATCCTTTTGCCTCTGCCTCTCCAGTGCAGGGATTATAGCCCTGCCCAAATGCCTATTTAATTCTTAAGGTAGAGAAGGTCTCATTGTAAGGGAGTGGGAGGACAGAATTTGAGTTGGAGACAATCAGGAATTTGAAAGAGACTGTATTCTAGGGATTTTTACAGGAACTCGAGTAGAGGGTTAAGGATGAGAGATTGAAAGGAAAGCAGGACTGCTCAGGCTTAGAGGTGGTGGGGAATCCCAGGATTTAGTACGTGGTTTCTCTCTTGCTCACTTATTTTTAACTTCTACTTAGCAATGAAACCACACCCTTCCTTCTTCCTGAAAGTAATGTTTGACTTCCTCTCCCTGCAGTATTATACTCTATGTAAAGGGGGAATGGGTGGGGGGAAGAGTCTCTCAAGGTTGTTGGTTCTTCTCACTGTAGTCTCAATAGAGAATCAGAGAGGATCAGAGAGAAATGTAATTTATGTGGTATATTGCCATTAGGTTATTTCCTACTGCTTAAGACAGAACAGCTTAACATTTCTGTTCTGTGTTCTGTGGCTATAACTTGATAAAAGATGTTGATTTTTTTTTGGGGGGGAGGGGAATTGCAGAATAATTGTTTCTTTTATATTTAGAAAAAGAGACTTAAATTTCTTCTTTCTTTAAAAAGCTGCCAGGAATGGGAGTTTCCAATGGCAGCAAAGCATCAAGATTCATGGAACAATAAAGACTTTTGGGAACTGGCCCCCCCCCCCCCATTTAGCCTTTCTGGCTTTCCTTATATTCTTAGAACTTTCTGGAAAGATTGTGTGTAGGGAACTTATCTGAGTCTCTACTATTTATTCAGCAAATAGTTTTTGAATGCTTATTATGTGCCAAACACTGCTCAAGACATTAGGGACACATCCTCAAACAAAACTGCTGCCCCCAACTCCAGTGTCCTTATGGAGCTTACATTCTTAGGCTCTAGAGATCCAGTCTGCCAAAATTTTAGGCCTGATTCCAGTTTTGATAGAAATGCAAACTGAGACTAAAGAGTGTTGTATATTTTATGAATACTGACACAAGGACTTAGGCCACAAATATCTTCCTGAAAACCCTTTTCCTATTTGGGAAAAAAAAAAAAAACTGCATTTGATAGAGTAAAGGAAGGCTACAAAATGAATTGTCTTGTGGGGCTGTGTTTCAGAACGGCCGGTTTGTGGGCGATGCTGACCTTGAGAGACAGAAATTTTCAGATTTGAAACTCAACGGACCCCAGGTAATAATTCTTTTGAGTCAAGGCCTAGGTGGCTTCATTCATATCTTTTTACTTCTCCAGCCTTTTTGAGCATATTGGTGTGTTGGGAAATGCTTAGTGCATTGTAAATATCTATTAATTAGTTCTTTGGAACTCTACCTTTTTACTTTCCTAAAGTGTTTATGTAGTTTGTTGATTTATTCATTTATTATTTATTTATTTTGTCTTTTTTGAGACAGGGTCTCCCTGTAGCCCTAGCTGGCCTGGAACTCACTATGTAGACCAGGCTGGCCTTTAACTCACAGAGATCCTCCTGCCTCTGCCTTCCGAGAATTTAAGGCGTGTGCCACCACGCCTTTGTTGATTTTTTTTTTTTTTTTTTTAAATGATGCCTTTATTATGGTTTCCCTGCCCCTTCATTTGATCCCTGGGTATTGCATCTGTTTTGGGAGCGGGCATAATTGTGTTTTGCAGAAATTGTATCTAAAGTCTGACTGGGCAGTATCTGAAGAGTAATATCGAGCCAGTTAAAAGATACCCCTTGCTGGGAGTGCAGGTACAGGTAGAGCCAGATCTCTGTGAGTTTGAGACCAGTCTTATCTACATACTTCTAGGCCAGCCAGGGATACATAGTGAGACCTTGTCTCAAAAAGAGGTAACTCTTGCTGGGCCTGGTGGTTCAGCTTATAATCCCAGCTACTTGAGAGGCAGAGTCAGGACAATCAAAAGTTGAAGGCCAGGCTCTTTGTGATAGCCTATGTCTTTAATCCTAGCTCTCTGGAGTCAGAGACAGGTAGGTCTCTGAGTTCTATCCTGGTCTAAATAGTTTTAGGTTAGCTAGGGCTACATAGTGAAACTATGTCTTTAAAAAAATGAAGGCTAGCCTGGACTACCAAATGAGTTCAAGACTAGCTTGGGCAACTAATGGGACTTTGACTCAAAATAAGAATTGGTTAAAGGCAGCCTTGGAATATAGTTCAGTAGTAGAGCACTTGCCTAGCGTGAACTAGGTTCAACCCCTAATACCATTTAAAAACAGAAACAAAAACCTCTTGGAGTTTTTGTTGTTTTTGTTTTAAAGATATTTTTGGGTGTGTGTGGAGGGGGTGTGGCAGGCAAGATGCTCTTATGAAGCGTCATTCAGATAGAGATGTAACCAGTAAATATAGTTTATATTCAAGTAGTTCACCAGAACTGGGAAGTTAAATCATGTCTTTGACACTAGGATGTTGATATGACTATAGTTAACTCCTTTCATGTTTGTTAAGTGACTAGAACTGGGAAATCATATCTACTGTCCTTTTACACAAGTTTAAAAGATGACAACCACTCTTTCTAAAAACTCTGAAGCCTGTGGAAGATACATGAAGACTTGTGTCTCTAGAGGCACCCATGTTTCTTATTAGGATGGAGTGCTGATACATATGGCTTACTTGTGGTTTCTTTCTTTTTTCTCTTACAGGATCACAGTCACCTTTTGTATAGCACTATCCCCAGGATGCAGGAGCCAGGGCAGATTGTGGAAACTTACACAGAGGAGGACCCTGAGGGAGCCATGTCTGTTGTCTCTGTGGAGACCTCAGATGATGGGACCACTCGTCGCACAGAGACCACAGTAAGCTGAGATTTGCATCATGTCTTGGAGTGAGTGATAGGTCTTTTGTGGTCTCAGTGGAAAGGCTAAAACAGTTAAATGTATGGAAGCCACTGGTCTCTACTGATGCTGTAACGAAAGTGATATCAGAGCAAACAAGGAAAATACATTGACATGGAGAAGAGAGGGGATATGAAGGCTGTAGTAGTGGTTTCCCTTAGAGCTTACAGGCAGTTATTGCCAGGACAACTTCCTCCCCTCCCCTCCCCTCCCCTCCCCTCCTTTTTTAAAATTTTATCTGTATGAGTGTTATGCCTGCATGTGTGTAAGTGCACCCTGTGTTGTTCAGTGCCCATGGGTGTCAGATCCCCTGGAACTAGAGTTACAAATGGTTGTTAGCCACCATGAGGGTGCTGGGAAATGAACCTGGGTCTTCTGCAAGAGCAGCCAGAGCTCTTAACTGCTGAGCCATCTCTCCAGTCCCCCTTTTTTCTTTTTATATGGGGATTTTGTTATCTTAAAAAGTATTTCTTGCACACAGGGCAGGCTTTTACTATGTAGCAAGGCATTCTCAAACATAAAACCTTCAAATAAAAAAGAAACAAAAAAGCATCCATTTGGGGTCAGCAGTTTGGGCTAAAACTCCTTCTTATCTCAGCCCAGCTGACTCATCTGTCTGCACTTAGCTGCAGGGCTAGCCGGGAGCAGCTGGCTCAGGGCATCCTCAGGTAGGGAGTTGCTGGGATGCAAACCCAGGTCTTGTACAAAAATAGCCAGTGCTCTTTTAACTGCTGAGCCATGCTCTCCAGCCCCTCCCACCCTCTCTTTTTCCCTCCCCTCTTTCCTTCCTTTCTTTTTAAAAAAAATTTCTTGATTGAATTATTTTTATTTTATGTGTATGAGTGTTTTCCCTGTGTGTATGTAATTGTATCCATCTCATGCAGTGCTCAAGGAGGTCAGAAAGAGAGTGTCACATACCTTACAACTCCAGTTATGGACAGTTATTAGCCACCAAGTGGGTGCTGGGAATCAACCCAGATCCTCTGTAAATGTAGCTGGTGCTTTTAACCACTGAGCCATCTCTCCAGCCCCTAGGGCAGTTTTCTTGCTCAATGGAAATAAAGGTAGATGGTAGACTGTAAGGCATTTCTAGGTAAACTGTCCTTGAGAGTAGGGGTTTCTTTCTTTTCTTAGAATGATATAGAGGTAAAGCTTAGCTCCTTCATTTCCTTCAGTTTTTCTTTTTCTCCTTAACTGAAGGTCAAGAAGGTTGTGAAGACTGTGACAACACGGACAGTACAGCCAGTCCCCGTGGGACCAGACGGGCTGCCTGTGGATGCCACAGCAGTCTCCAACAACTATATCCAGACTTTGGGTCGTGACTTCCGCAAGAATGGCAATGGGGGACCTGGTCCCTATGTGGGGCAAGCAGGCACTGCCACTCTTCCTAGAAACTTCCACTACCCTCCAGATGGATACAGCCGCCACTATGAAGATGGTTATCCAGGTGGTGGTGACAACTATGGCAGTCTGTCTCGGGTGACCCGCATTGAGGAGCGGTATAGACCCAGTATGGAAGGCTACCGGGCACCTAGTAGACAAGATGTCTATGGGCCCCAGCCCCAGGTTCGAGTTGGTGGGAGCAGCGTAGATCTGCATCGCTTTCATCCAGAGCCTTATGGGCTAGAGGATGACCAGCGTAGCATGGGCTATGATGACCTGGATTATGGCATGATGTCGGATTATGGCACTGCCCGTCGGACAGGGACACCTTCTGACCCTCGCCGACGCCTCAGGTATGCAGGAATGGGGAAAAAGGGGGTAGCTTTATCTTCTAAGAGCTTTTAGGATTGTGGATACTTGTGGCTCCTTTCTTTTCTTATGGAAGGCTTATTAAATATTGATTTGCTATGTTATGTTCTTTTTTTGTTTGAGAACCATAATTTTAGTTATACAGAGTGATTTTTTTCTTTTGTTGTTACTGCTTTTTGAGACAGGGTCTTAGCAGCTCAGGCTGACCTCTGAATTGGCTATATAGTTGAGGATGGCCTTGAACACCTGATCCTTCTGCTTCTAACTTCCAGACTCTTAAGATCACAGGTGTGTGCCACCGTACCTAGTGAAAAAGTGATTTGTAGCTGTATGTGATGACTCATGCTTATAGTCCAGGTACTCAGGAATCTGAGGCAGGAGGATTGTCACAAGTTTAAGTCCTGTTTGGGATATAGTGTGGACTTAGCCCAAGGTGATTAGTGATAATATTGGTTTATGTCCTAAGAGTAGACTGCTGCTATGCTGTAGCTTCTGCCTCATGATCTGTTTCCTTTTTACTGTCAGAGAGGGAGTACCACAAGGAGCCGGAGGCCTGAGGCCTAGGAACGTTCTTCTTCCTGGGAATTTCTTTAGCTACTGGTTTGGTGTTAGAACACAGTTGAGTATGTTTAAGGGTCTGGAGAGATGTCTCACCAGTTAAGAGCACTTGCTGCTCTGGCAGAAGACCTGGGTTTGGTTCCCAGCATCCAAATGGTGACTCAAGTTCCAGGGCATCCGACACCCTCTCTTGCTTCTGCAGACACTGCATGCATGTGATGTGCTTACATATGAACAGGCAAAATCACTCTCATACATAAAATAAAAACAAAAATATCTTTTAAAAAAAGTGTATTTAAGAATTCTTTCTGCAGTGGTTCAAATCCCAATGTTTTTTAAAAACAGAAATGGTCCATGACCTGAGCAAGGCCCTTACACCCTGTATTTAGAGTTTTACATTTGGTCATGAAGATAGGGAGGAGTGGCCCTCTTGGAGAGATGTATTAGCAATACTCCCAAAGGTCACTAAGCAGCTGTCTAGTCTGAGGATACTTGTCCCTTCAGAATTTTCGAATGGGATTGACGTACCTTTGCTTTTTTTTTTTTTTGGGCCAGGGGGAGACAGGGTTTCCCTGTAGTCCCAGCTGCCTGGACTATGTAGAGCAGGCTGGCTTCAAACTCAGAGATCCTCCTGCCCCTGCCTTTCAAGTGCTGGGATTAAAGGCGTGGGTCATCACACCTGGCTGCAAGGCCTTGAACTCACTGACAGGGAACTGCCTGCCTCCAGAGTGCAGGGATTAAAGGTGTATAAGCCTAGACTGACCAACCTTTTTTCAAGGATTTATTTTGTGCTCTATTTGCCATAGATTAGCATCTTTGTGATAGCTCTTATTTGATTTTCTTTCTTTTGTTTGTTTTTTTAGACTGGGTCTCTCTGTAGTTGTCCTGGAACTTGTTTATATAGACCCACTGACCTCATCTTACAGATCTGCCTGCTTCTGCCTTAGTACACACCCAACCAGTGGTGTCCCGTACGCCCCCCCACCCCAACTGAAGACTGAACCCAGGGCCTTGTACACCTTCTTTTTTAAAAAAATTGTTTTAAATGTTCTTAGTTTTAGGCCTGTATAAAAACAAGCAGGTTTGGTCCTGGGCTATAAACACGTTGCTTTTAGAATAAACCAGGGTCTGTATTTTCCAGGCCAAGAAATAAGGGAAGGTTTATGATTGTCTTGATGGTGAGTGTGCCCTGGGCAGCTGTTGTGGAATTTCTGTATGTTGGGGCCATAACCTTCAAAAGCAAATGTCTTGGCACTTACTTTCCATATATATTAGGTAGTACTGACTGAATGAACTGAATTGGCCAGGGACAGGGGTAGAGGCCCCATTATCTAAGCCTGAGTCACTCTTCAGATGTCTTGGTTAGCAATCCAATACCCATGTGACTCACCTTTTATTCCTGAAGAGGCACCAGACTAGGCTGGTGCAACCTAGAGCAGGGACAGATAACAGCTATCATTGGATGGTCTGTCCAGGGTGTGGGCTGTAGCGCAAGCCTGCTTTTTCTGACTTCCTCATTAGTAAAGAGTGATTAGACCCAGTGGGTGTGGATGGCCAGGACTTTCTCTCCTGTCCCTAGTTGTGGCAGTTAGCATAGAGAGGGTTTGGGGCTTGGTTCTTGGGCTTGTTCCAAGTTGGCCATTGGACTTGGAAACCTGCTTGACTAGCAAGAACATTTTCTGTTTCCTGTTTCAGGCCTAGGAGAATAATGCAAGGTCATACTTGAACAGTGAGGCAGGGATTAGTGGAAGAAGCACTGAACTTGAAAACCAGTGTTCTAGTTGTGTCTCTGCCACTGTCTGTGCTGCCTTAAGCAAGTTATTCTATCATGTGGGCAAAGTTTTGTTACTTGCAAAGTGAAAGAATCTTGATCTTCTGCCCAGAAGAACAATGAATACAGGATTTCAAATGTGAGGTATATTCCCAGGTGACTGAGAAACCTGGCTGTGGCAGTTATTTTATAATTGCTTATCCTAAAATAAACAAGAAAAGTAAAACATGCTCAACACACAGCTTGAAAAACCCAGAAAAGCACACCATCCTCTCATGAAGAACCATTGCTAACATTTTGGCATATCCTTTGAGTTTTCATGCATGTATTCTGTTTTTTCTCCCATTAAAAGGACTTTTTCCACCACATACTGTTTAGTAGTCTGCTCTTAAAACAACCTGTTCATTTTGCTCGATATTTTAAAATACCTTAGTGTTTTTTTTTTTTTTTAATTAAATGATTTGTCCTGTTGAAAAATGATTTGTCCTGTTGAATCACTCACTGTTGAATGGTTAGTATTGATACCTGTAAGGAAGGCCTTCTGTTCTGACTAACCTTGAGTGTTTGCTGACAGTGGGAGTGGTTTTATCAAACAAACCATGGTCTTATTTGGAGAGTCCTACACAATAGATTCTCCTGTCTTTTGTGGGAGCCACGGGGTGAAATGAGCTCATAGATAATGGGTCTCTTACCTCCTGGTGGCCATGAATAAATAATTGTGTGACAAACTCACCCTCTAGTGGTTGTTGATAGTACTGAAACAGAAAAACTCAGTTTCTATCACTGATCCTAATGGCAGGGCATCCCAATTTTGATGTTGATATGTAGATTTCATTTTGACAGAATTGTGGGCAGTTAGAAGTTGGAGGATGTCTTTCTTCTCCAACATACTTGTTTGAGTAGCTGGTAAAGCCTTGGGATGAACTGTGAGAGTTAATGTTCGAGCTTATACCTCAGGGCCAAAGCCAAGGTCTCATACAATGTAGCAAGAAGTCCTCTTGAGACAGGGTCTCTCTGTAGCCCCAGCTGTCCTGGAGTCACTATGTAGACCAGGCTGGCCTTGAACTCACAGATCCGTCTGCCTCTGCCTCCTGAGTGCTGGGATTAAACGCGTGCACCACCACACCCGGCCCAGTTTCTCTTTTATAATTTCCAAAATAGGGTGGGGAAAAGCTTAAATAAGAAATGTATTTATGCCGAGCATGGTGGTGTATGCCTTTAGTCCCAGCACTCAGGAGGCAGAGGCAGGCCTCTGTGAGTTCAAGGCCAGCCTGGTCTACATAGTGAGTTCCAGGATAGCTGGGGCTACAGGGAGACCCTAAAAAGACCAAAAAAAAGAAAAAGAAAAAGAGATATGTTTAATGGTCTTATTCCATCAGCTGTTTGCTGTGTGTAAATGCTTTGTTTCTTGTTCAGCTAAGGATTTTAGAACTGTTCTCAGACTCTTTGTCAGGGGAGGAGAATGTATTGAGGTATCTTGGTATGTAGCCCTGAATGGCCTGGAATTTGCTATGTAGACCAGCCTGGCCTCAAACTTGTGATGACCCTGCTTCTGCCTCTCCAGTGCTGGGACTACAGCCATCTTACCACTTGTTCCCAGGCTTTGTTTGCTGACTGTGATACTGAGTCAGTTGTCTTCTTAACTCTCTTGTTTGAGGATTAATTTCACTCTGTACAGATAATTTAATAGCTGGTAGGTATCATTCAGATAGATGCTAAAGAATCAGAATTTGATTCTCTTTTTACTAACATTTCCAAATGTTTGCTATTTTCAGAATTAGCAAACTTCACAGAAAAAAGTGATAGTTTTAGTTTAATCATAGGTTGCCTTTAAAATTATTAAAGTTGGGAATGGGGAGATGGTTTAGTTGATAAAGTGCTTGCTGCAGGTAAGTGAGGAACTGTTTTCTATTTCCAGCATCCAGTGAAAAGCTGAGCACTGTGGTGGCTCACACTTGTAATCCCCAGTACTAGGGAGACAGTGACAAGGATCCCTGGGGCTTGCTAGCCAGCAAATCTGACTGAATCAGCAAGCTCCAGGTTTGGTGTGAGACCTTGTCTCAAAAAATAAAGTAGGAAGCCCGGGTATAGTGGTGCAGGCCTTTAATCCAAGCACTCAGGGAAGGAGAGGTAGGCAGAGCTCTATGAGATGGAGGCCAGTCTGGTCTACATAGTTCCAGGCCAGCTGGGGCTACTGAGAGACCCTGAATCAAAACAAAACAAAAGTAAGGTAGAGAGCAATTAAAAAGACACTCAACATCAGCTTCTGATTGTCACATATACTCACACACATGCAGATACACAAAATTATTAAAATTGATCTAAAAAGGAAAGATATGATCTCTGTAGTAGAACTGGAGTTAATGCATACTTGAAGTTGAGTAACAGGAATGTCCAAGAAGCTAGGCTTAACTGGTTGATTCTTGGTTCTTTCAAAACTTTGCAGGAGCTATGAAGACATGATTGGTGAGGAGGTACCACCGGATCAGTACTATTGGGCTCCTTTGGCCCAGCACGAGCGGGGAAGTTTAGCCAGCTTGGATAGTCTGCGCAAGGGAGGTCCCCCACCTCCAAATTGGAGACAGCCTGAGCTGCCGGAGGTGATCGCCATGTTGGGGTTCCGCTTGGATGCTGTCAAGTCCAATGCAGCTGCCTACCTGCAGCACTTATGCTATCGCAATGACAAGGTGAAGACTGATGTGCGGAAGCTCAAGGGCATCCCTGTACTGGTAGGATTGTTAGACCACCCCAAAAAGGAAGTGCACCTTGGAGCCTGTGGAGCTCTCAAGAATATTTCTTTTGGACGTGACCAAGATAATAAGATTGCCATAAAAAACTGTGATGGTGTTCCTGCTCTTGTGCGATTGCTTCGAAAGGCTCGTGACATGGACCTAACTGAAGTCATTACTGGTGAGTTCTAGGTCTGAGGAAGTTGCTAGGTTGGAAGTCACTGTTATTCCTAGAGAAGTAGAGAGCTAGAGGGGTTTCCAGTCCATTACTTTCTGATTATAGGTTCTGAAGTTGTGGCCTTTGGCTTAAGTCTGCCTTACAGATTTGATTGGCTGACACAGGGTTTTGAATTTTTAAAGAACTGGTTGCTCATGTTTACTATCCAGAGATATTACTTAAAATTCTACATTGCTGGCTTCTGTTAAGCACATAGAAGAGCTGATCAGATTAGATCTGCTTCTCCATTCTGGTACTTGAGCTGATTTGGGGGCATATGTTTCCCAGTTTTCAGTAATCCCCAACACATTCTGTTATTTTTGACTAATAATATTTGTAGAGGAAGTTATCCCGCAAACACAGAAGCTATGTGTCAGTTGCCATTTACCCATAACCTTGTAATTTGTTTTAAATGTGTGCCTATCTTGACTCAACCTGCCTGAACCATCTAGACATTTGAGCTTACATTTGGCTTTATTTAGAATGGTAATTTTCCAGATAGTGAGTGGGTGATCCATTAGTGTGAAATTTTATGGGTCATAATCATCATTCCAGGAGAATAAAAGAAAAATAAATAATATAGATCTTTGATTTTTCAATTGGCGGGATATTTTGAATCCCAGAGGACATCTGCATTGTTGGAGTTGTTTTTGGTTGTCATAACTTAGGGTAGGGCAGAGCCTGCTATTGGCATCCGGTTAGTAAAGGCTAGGGATACTGGTAAGCTGGTAAACACCCCACAATGGACAGTTTCCCACAACAATTACATGGTTCAAAGTAACTTTGTTGCTGGGGTGAAGAAACTGTTGTAGATTAATGAGCATTGATTGTAGTAAATAGTGTTTTATAAAACTTTTTTTTTTTTGATGCAGGCGTGGTAGCCCATGGGAGGCAGAGGCAGACGGATCTCTGTGAGTTTGAGGCCAGCCTGGTCTACATAGCCAGTTCCAGGCCAGCTGGGGCTACAGGGAGACCCTGTCTCAAAAAGACCAAAAAACCCCCAACTTTTGGGGGGCTAGAGACATGGCTCAGCAGTTAAGAGCTCTTGCTGCTCTTGCAGAAGAATTCAGTTCCTGTCGGGACTCACAATTGCCTGTAATTCCAGCTCCAGGAGATTAGACACCTTTTCTGTTCTATGGGCACATGCACTCAAGTGCACATGCATACACACATGCACACACATATGTAAAATCTTTCTTTCTTTTTTTTTTTTCTTTTTGAGACAGGGTCTGCTTGTAGCCCCAGCTGTCCTGGAACTCACTATGTAGACCAGGCTGGCCTCAAACTCACAAAGATCTGCCTGCCTCTGCCTCCCAAGTGCTGGGATTAAAGGCATGTGCCACCACGTCCAGCCATAAAATAAATCTTTAAAAAATAAAACTATTTTAAAAAATAAAGCTTTCATGATCTGTGTGCTTGTATTAAACTATAGTATAAAATATTTCTTACCATGGGTCATGAGCAGCAGCTTGAGTAACACTACATGGAGTCATTCATACGACTCTGTAGTGGACACACATTTGATCATCGAGGAATGCTGAGAAGGAATAGAATAGGGTTCTCTGATATTCTCCAGACACACTGTCTTGGGTGCTGGAGAGCTCTCTGATAAATTGTCCCTGCCAGGAACTCTGTGGAATCTCTCATCCCATGATTCAATAAAAATGGAGATTGTGGACCATGCACTGCACGCCTTGACAGATGAAGTGATCATTCCACACTCTGGCTGGGAGAGAGAACCTAATGAAGATTGTAAACCACGACATATTGAGTGGGAGTCGGTGCTTACCAACACAGCTGGCTGCCTTAGGTAAGTGACATTTTGTTTTTGTTTTGGTTTGGTTTTTTTTGAAACGGGGTCTCCCTGTAGCCCCAGCTGACCTGGAACTTGCTGTGTAGACCAGGCTGGCCTCGAACTCAGAGATCCGCCTGTCTGCCTCCTGAGTGCTGGATTAAAGGTATGTGCCACCATGCCTGGCTTGCTTTTTGCTGGGGTTGATAGCGTAGGCCTTCAATCCAGCTTCTCCAGAGGCTGAGATAGAATTGCAAGTTCACAGCCTACCTGTACTACAGAGTGAGTTCACAGCCAGCTGAGTAACTTTGCAAGACCTTTGCAGGGGAAGGTAGGGGGGTTGGCAGAGGATGGATATGATATAGCTTAGTGGTAAGTGCTTATCTGTCATACTGAGGTCCCTGGGTTCAATCTCAAGGAACATGTACACACAACCCTTGGAATTGATTTTTGAAGATTGATATATCTTTTTTCTTTTTTTTAAATTAGAAGTTGGGATTTTGGCTTACTTGTTTTATTTAGTTTTGTTTTGTGGTACTGAGGACCAGGCTCAGAACTTTGCATGTGCTATCTTGGCAAGTTCTCTACTAATGAGCTACATCCCTAGTCATAAAGGTCAATTCTTTAGCCTCTTATTCAGCCTGTTTGTATTGCATGCTTCAACTCCAGCCTGCCTGTCTTTACTGCTGCTCCCATGTGTATACTGCATTATTTAGCTGCAGTATGGGTTTGCTTGCTGCCTTCCTCCTTCTCCTCACTTTTATGTCTCTGACTTTGTTCCTCTACTTTTAGTAAATACCTGTTTAGAACCTACCAGACATGAGGTTCTTATGTAGCCCCGGGCTTGTGTCTGTTTAGTTTCTGCCTTTAGTTACCTGTATTTCAAAGCAGACACCTTGTCCTCTTCTAATTTGTACTTCTACGTAATAAATATCTGTTCTGTCTTGATTTACTGATACCATTTTCATCTCCCAACCTTAAGCCCCATTTTTGTGGTGCTGGGGATTAAACTGATTACCTTGTATATGCTCAGGCAAGCTCTCTACCACTAGCCATAGCCCCAGCCTGGTGTCTATCACATGTAAAAATTTTTTGGGAGGGGGAAGGGAGGCAGAGACAGTCTTGCTATGTAGTGCAGTCTAGCGTCACACTCTTGATCCTCTTGCTCTTGTCTCCCAAGTGCTGAGATTGTAGGTATGGACCACTATTTCTGGCTTAGTATACATTTTTAACCCTGCTCCATGTGGTTATAAAGGCTCAGAAGACAGAGACTGTGTCACTCAACTTTCAACTGCAATGCTTGCTTGTAATACACAGTCACTATTTATTATAACAAGTAGGAAAGGTTTTGAAAAAGCTTTAGATTTAGAGAGATGTTTAAGGGAGGACTTCTGAATTTGAATCATCTTTAGTACTTTTTCTGCTTCCCCTTAGAAATGTAAGCTCAGAAAGGAGTGAAGCTCGTCGGAAACTTCGGGAATGTGATGGCTTGGTTGATGCCCTCATTTTCATTGTTCAGGCAGAGATTGGGCAGAAGGATTCAGACAGCAAGGTAAGTTAATGGTTGAGTAAATTCCATCCACAAGATACCTGTGGTCTAGACTTACCACTTCAGGCTGTCAGATAATGTAAAATACTTATGCCAGCCCTTTCTCCTTAAAATGGGCATTCACTTTAGAAGAAGAGAAGATTTTGTGTGTGTGTGTGTGTGTGTGTGTGTGTGTGTGTGTGTGTGTGTATCTGTATGTCTGTAGTATTTAAATGTGTGTGTTGTGTATGTGCCCAGGTACATGCAAATGAAGGCCAGGAGAGCATTTACTGTCCTCTATCACTCTCGCATTCTCCATGTCATTCCTTTGAGACAGGGTCTCTGTTTTTTGGCTAGGCTTGTGGCCAACAAAGCTCCAGCACTCATCCTGTCTCTATCTCCTACAGCACTTGGGTTACAGACTTATTCAGCATCGTGCCTGACTTGTTTCCCGGGTTCTGGTATCCAAATGTAGGTCCTATAGTTAGTTGTACAGCAAGGACTCATAACCACTGCGCTGTCTCTCCAGACTGAAGATAGTTTTGTTTAGATTTTTTTTTCTCCTTCAGACACATTAAAACTGCTTAGTAGTCTTCCAAGTTTTCTTTTTTTTTTTCTTTTTGGTCTTTTTGAGACAGGGTCTCCCTGTAGCCCCAGCTGTCCTGGAACTCACTATGTACACCAGGCTGGCTTTGAGCTCACAGAGATCCGCCTGCCTCTGCCTCCTGAGTGCGGGGACTAAAGGTGTGCGCCACCATGCCCGGCGATTGTGTGTTTTCTGAGTAAGAGAATCAGTGACCCAAATTCTGGGGTCACACACTAGATATTCCATAATTAGACCTTCTGCTAGCCTGAAGATACAAAGACTTCAAGAAGCTTGGGGCATTGATGAGACATCCCAAGAGATAATGGATTGAATTATGCATTTTAGGATTGATATTATAGCACATGAATCATGGAGATTTACATTTTCTGGTGAATCACTATAGGCATTCTCTTGCCATTTTATCTTTTGTTTTGTGTCCCTAAGCTTGTGGAGAACTGTGTTTGCCTCCTTCGGAACTTATCGTATCAAGTTCACCGTGAAATCCCACAGGCAGAGCGTTACCAAGAGGCACTTCCCAGTGTTGCTAACAATACTGGGCCACATGCTGCCAGTTGCTTTGGGGCTAAGAAAGGCAAAGGTGAGTCTTAGTTCCTGCTCTTTAATGTGAGATGGGGAAAGGAAGGAGCACTTAGCTTTAGGTACTTAATAGCATGGAAGTCTACCTGGTAAAGATTGTCTTTTTGCTCTGCTGCTGCTTCCCTTGTCTTGTATGCTTTGATCTTGGTGGTGGTAGAGGTGGCAGTAGAGGTGGCAGTGGTGGTGGTGGTGGTGGTGATGACCGTGGTGATTGTGGTAATCATATGGTGGTGGTGGTGGTGGTGGTGGTGGGTGGTGGTGGTGGTGGTGGTGGTAGTATATTGGTATAGGGGGCAGTGAAGGATAACAACTTAACTAATCTGGGGCCTTCTTCCCCATCCTCCTCTGTCTTTCCTGTATTTGTCTTTGTGCTTTCCTGCATACTTGCCTGTGATCTTGTTGACATCTTTCTCCTGCATTTTTCTTCCTTCATTTTTCTCCTCTGCTTTCCACCTTGGTGACATACTGGAAGATGAGTGGTTCTCCAGAGGTGAGTGGAATCTTTTAAGGTGCTTTTCCACTTCTAATTTGCATGTTTTGGTTTTTTCCTTCCCTAATATTTTCTTGCCTAACCCTTCCCTGCGGATGCATGTAGGAAAATTCAGTTGAGGAAAAGCACTGAAATAAGTTTAGCTCTTCTGAGCTGATGGCTCATGGCATGCTATTTCAGAGCAGCAGTCCCTGTTCTAGAATGCAGGTCAACAGCAACAAGATTATCCTTGTTGTACCGATCTGCTGCCTGTTTTTTTGTCCTTGTTTCTGAATAGCCCCTTGGTGAGACAGGTATGTGTGGGGCTGCCCTTCTTTTGCCCCTTACAGTTCATCTCTGATCTGAAGATTGTGACTGAAAGTAGGCTATTTCCTTTGTTTAAAAGCTCTTTATTACCCCTGTTCTCCCCACCACTTTCCCCATTTTTACAGGGAAAAAACCCACAGAGGAACCTGCAAATGATACAGTGGATTTCCCTAAAAGAACTAGTCCTGCTCGAGGTAAGTTATATTTTTTTTCTTGGTCACCAAAGTTTCATAGCAGTCTACAGATATGGTGTCTGGACATGGTGACAGCATGATTTATTCAGTATGTTAAACTATTCCCTCTGACTTACTGGATTTGAAGTCCTGGTGAACATATTGGGAAAACTCACAATAAGGTAGAAGCAGATCACAAAAGACTGCTTCTTAAGGCGGGACCTCAGGTTACTTGAGGATGAGATAAGGTCCTGATGGTAGCCTAGAGTAAGAAAGTAGGCTGGAGGGACTGGAGACATGGCTCAGAGGTTAAGAGAACTCAAGACTCAAAGACCCAGGTTCAGTTCCCAGCACCCATGTGGGGGCTAACTACTGTCCCTATTTCCAGTTCCAGGTGATCTTTCACCCTCTTCTGGCCTATTTGGATACTGTACAAATGTGCATAGCATGCAGGCAAATGCTTATACACAGATAATAAAAATAGATAAAATATAACAACAACAAAAGTAGACTGAGCATGGCGGCTCATGCCTATAATCCTAGTACTTGGGGGAGGCTGAGGCAGGAGAATTGCTGTGAATTCAAGACCAGCCTAGGCTACAGAGTGAGACCATGTCTTTTTTTTTTAATATTTTATTATTTTTATTTTATGTGTATGCATGTATTGCCTGCATATGTAGGTAAGTGCACCCGTGTCGTGCAATGCCTGTGGAGGACAAAAGAGGCTATCGGAGCCCCTGGAACTGGATTTATGGACAGTTGTTAGCTGCCATCTGGGTGCTGGGATTCGAACCCAGGTCTTCTGCAAGAACAGCCAGTGTTCTTAACCACCGAGCCATCTCTCCAGCCCTGAGACCATGTCTTAAAAAAAAAAAAATCAGAAAAAAAGAGAAATTTCTCTTAAGTGGCCACCACAGTTTTTCAAATTTAAGCCTTACTGTTACAGAATAACGTCTTTATCATAGCTTGGATCTTTGTACTCACTGTATTAATGAACATGACATTTACAGTTTTCCATGAATTAGAAAAATGTTACAAGGCCGGGCGTGGAGGCGTACGCCTTTAATCCCAGCACTCCAGAGGCATAGGCAGGCGGATCTCTGTGAGTTCAAGGCCAGCCTGGTCTACATAGTGAGTTCCAGGACAGCTAGGGCTTCAGGGAGACCCTGTCTTAAAAAGACCAAAAAAAGTTACATCTATGTCCCTTTCATTTAGTCATAGGCATGGCGGGGAGAATTGACTGAATTAAATTAGAGATAATTCATCTGAGATGTTAAGTCTTTAAGCCTGAGTGCTATTCATGAGCTAAATGAATCTCCAGAGTGCTCATGGTAGAACCAAGGCCAGAGTATGGGGTACAAGTCGAGGAGGAAGGAGAGAAAGGAGTTTGTTCTCTTGTGACTATGGACTAGTACTTTTTTTTTTTTTTTTTTTTTTTGCCTTTTTGAGACAGGGTCTCCCTGTAGTCCCAGCTGGCTGGAACTTGCTATGTAGACCAGGCTGGACTTGAACCCACAGAGATCCACCTGCTCAGTCTCCTGAGTGCTGGAATTAAAGTCATTTACCACCACACCTGGCCAGACTAGTTATTCTTAAAGACAGGGGATCAGGGTCTAGAGAGGTGGCTCAGTGATTAACAGAGGACCGGGGTTCAATTCCCAGCACCCACATGGCGGTTAACAGCTGTCCATAATTGCAGTTCCAGGGAATCCAATGCCTTCTGACCTCCACTGGCATTGCACAACACGGGTGCACTTACGTTCATGCAGACAATACATTCATACACATAAAAAATAAAAATAAATAAAATATATTTTTAAAAAGGCATGGGATCAACTGAGCATGGTGGCATATGCCTGTATGTAGTCCCAGCACTCAGGAGGCTAAGACAGGGAGATTATAAGTTCGAAGCCAGTCTGGGCTATACTGCAAGACCTTGTCTCAAAAGAAAATAGAAACCTAAAGAAGGAATAGGTGTGGAGTCAAGCCTCTGAATTGGCTTTTGAGTTGATTAGGGGAGTTCAGGGAACCTAATGATAATGAGCAGAACTCTGAACAGTCCAGGCCTAGTTTGTAGATACTGATTCACATCTTTTACACACACCCGCCTTTTTTTTTGTTTTTCCCTCTTCAGGCTATGAGCTCTTATTTCAGCCAGAAGTGGTGCGGATATACATTTCACTCCTCAAGGAGAGCAAGACTCCTGCCATCCTAGAAGCCTCTGCTGGAGCTATCCAGAACTTGTGTGCTGGGCGCTGGACAGTGAGTACTTCTGAGAAAATGGACTTGGAGATGGGGAACTTAGATGACTAGTTTCCTGACATTTGTAATTTTTTCACCCCTTTCCATGTGTTTCCTAGTATGGTAGGTACATCCGCTCTGCTCTGCGTCAAGAGAAGGCGCTCTCTGCCATAGCTGACCTTCTGACCAGTGAACATGAGCGGGTGGTGAAAGCTGCATCTGGAGCACTGAGAAATCTGGCTGTGGATGCTCGGAACAAAGAGTTAATTGGTAAGGATTTGAATCGGCGACTAGCCTGTGCCTGTAATCCAGCAGGTACTTAGTCATTTGTTGAAATCACTGAAGGCAGGATCTTAGTCTTCTATAGTTTAGGTATCTTGAATGTGGTGAAGGCTCATAAAGGTTCATGGTTTAATGATTCAAAACAAGTTATGATTCTTCAAAAACAGGATAAGAGCAACTATTATTTATTGAGCATCTGCCTTGTCACTAGGCATTGTTAGCACTTTTCTGTTTTCATTTACTCTCCCCATTGCTTTGCAAAGAGCTCCTCCCTCCCACAGTTTAAAATAGGCTAAGGAAACCTAGGGACATAGAAATGAAATAATTTGCCTAGAATTAATAGAGCTAATTAGTGGCAGAGCCCAAGTTTTTGACTTTTAAATTTTTAATGACTTCCACTGAATTATAATAGTACCGAACATACTGTTTTCATTAGAGTATCTGACAAGACAGGTAGCATATTTGACATGGTGTTCATATTGTTTGAGTGTGATTGAAGAAATGACAGGATGATGAGCACATGGCTAGCATGTTTCTTTATCCTTTTGTCTTTTTGGTTGTGAGCCTGAGCCTTTAATGGCTGCGCCAGTTCTCTAACCCTCTTTATCCTTTTGATATAACAATTATAAAGAATAACGGAATTGATTTATATGGATAGAACTTAGACTTGATGTGGTTACTATAGTGTAAATTGTAGAGCTCCTCAGGACCTGATTCTGCTTTTCTCCCTTCATGTGCCCTTCTGTCTTCTTGCTGTAGGTAAACATGCTATTCCTAACTTGGTAAAGAATCTGCCAGGAGGTCAGCAGAACTCTAACTGGAATTTCTCTGAAGACACTGTGGTCTCTATTTTGAACACCATCAACGAAGTTATTGCCGAGAACTTGGAAGCTGCCAAAAAGCTTCGAGAGACCCAGGGTATTGAGAAGCTAGTGCTGATCAACAAATCAGGGTAATCTTATGCTTAAAATCATAGCTGGAAGAGACTCCCAGAAAGGAGTTTTCTTCTGCTTTGTGAGATTATTGCCCCATATAGTTAGTATACTGTCTGTGAAATATGAAGAGGTATTAATCTATTATCAGTCTTAATGTTGGTCTATGAGTTGATAATGGACTCTTACAGCAAACAATATTTAATGTCAATGCTTGGAACAGAATATCAAACTTAGCAAAAATTTGATTTCACTCATTTTAACATTTATTGTGTTGTGTTTTTTTGTGCTGTTAGAGGGTATATGGGCTAAGCTTTCCTGGCCTTACACCCATACTTCAAGTACTATTTTCCTCAATAGGAATCGCTCAGAAAAAGAAGTTCGAGCAGCAGCACTTGTATTACAAACAATTTGGGGTTATAAGGAACTGAGAAAGCCACTGGAAAAAGAAGGGTGGAAGAAATCAGACTTCCAGGTACAATAACTCTTCTTTTTGGTTTTGTTTTGTTTTGTTGTTTTTTGAAACAGAGTCTCCCTGTAGCCCCAGCTGGCCTGGAAGTCACTGTGTAGACCAGGCTGGCCTCCATCTCATAGAGATTGCCTGCCCCTGTCTCCTGAGTGCTGGGATAAAAAGCTACCAGCCTGGCAAATACAATAACTCCTGACCAAAGCTTTTGTTTTCTTCCCCTTGGTCCCTGGTTAATGCTTCTGTCTTTGGTTTCTTCTATTTCACCATCACACTAAATCTGATTTTGATCCAAGTCTATCAGGAAGGACATTATTTGCCACACTACCTCTTTTTTTTAATGTTTTATTTTTACTTTATGTGTATGAATGTATTGCCTGCGTGTATGTGAGTGCACCCGTCTTGTGCAGTGCTGCGGAGGTCAGAAGAGGGCTTCAGATTCCCCTGGAACTGGAGTTAAGGACAGTTCGTAGCTGCCATGTGGGTGCTGGGAATTGAACCGGGGTCCTCTGTAAGAGCAGTTAGTGCTCTTAACCACTGAGCCATCTCTCCAGCCCCGCCATACTAACCTCTTAGAGTGGTGTCCAGTGTCTATAGTTCTCTACTTTCCTGAGTCATAACATGCAGTAGATGCTGGTAGTGGTGAATGATGAAGATTGATGGCCTTTGTGATTCCCCCACCCTTTCATCTGTTCACCATTTTCTGAGACTGTTTCCTTCTGATAGCATGGTTGGACCTTTGTAATCCCATGTCCAGGAACACACAAGAATATTTACACATCCCTTAGCAGTCACCTTTCTTTTTTACCAACCCCCCCAGCCCTTCCTTTGAGATAGGGTTTCATGTACCCCAGTTTGGCCATGAACTCACTGTATAGCTGAGGGTGGCCTTGGACTGACTATTGATCCTTCTGCCTTTACCTCTCAGTGCTAGCATTATAAGAATGTGTCTTGCCTAGTTTCAAATGCTTTTTCTGAAGAGTTGGAGCTGTCTCTAGAAACCTAGAGACTTGATTACATTATGAAATAAGAAGTGAGTATGAACATGGAGAATGCAAGCTGAGGAGAGAAAACCATGCTTGTTAACAAGAGCTTCTGAAGGAGGAAGTGCACGATTGGGAGGAAGAGGGGCACATTGAGAGGAGAGGACAGAAAGAAGGATGTAGGTGTGTTCAGGTTTCTGTGACATGGGATTTTTTTTTGCTTTTGCCTCTAGGTGAATCTCAACAATGCTTCTAGAAGTCAGAGCAGTCATTCATATGATGACAGCACTCTCCCCCTTATTGACCGAAACCAAAAATCAGGTACAGTATCCAGAGAGTGTATCCTCTTTTAGCCACCACTGCTCTGCAGTGCTCATTATCTAAGAAATAGGGTATGTATGTGTTTCTGAATGAGTTAGACTTTGAGGAGAGGAATACTGCTTTGCTTTGGGATTATAATAAGGAAATAAGTCTGAATTTAGAAATCAAAACAGATAACACAGGTGGCTGTGGTGCTACACACCTGTAATCCCAAGTAGAGGAGGAGGATAAGGAGTTTAAGGTCAGTCTTGACTTGGCTGCGTGAGACTATCTCATAAAAAACAAAAATAGTAAAAACAGCTTAGCTTGGGTGTTACTTCTCTATTTGTGAATTTAGAGTCACTGGAATGTGAACCCTAGTTTTTCTGTTTAATTTCCCCCTCTTTTAAATTTCTATATAATATTGACTGATGTGCTTACTATTAAAATTGGAAACTACTGACATCCAGGAAATTCATTATTTCTAGTACCCAGAAAAAACCACTGCTGTAAATGTTTTAGGTTGTAGCTCTCTGTGTGTGTATTTGTTCGTGCTTGTGTCTGTTTGTGTGGTACTGGAAACTGAACCCAGGGCTTTGCACATGCTAGGCAAGTGTTGTTCTACTGAGGTATATCCCTAGCTAGAGTTAGAGCTTTTAAAACCCTTTTACCATGGGAGCAAACATAGTTTATTCCAAAAGTTTATACTGTAACCCTTATTGTCTTAACCATGTCTGACTTTTGATTAGATCCATGGTTTGAAGTATGGTCCGAGGGCCCCAAGATTGTTGAATATGTATGCCAGGGGTCTAAAAGCAGTGGAGCTTGCTGCTGGTGGCTCAGCACGATGAGGGCAGTGACACCAATCTAAATGAGTTTTTTATATTACTGTGTATTCTGCAGTTAAAGCCTTCTTCACTTAGGAGCATGCTTGATGCTACTATAGAAATTAATAATTTATTATGTTTCTACACTTCAGTGCACGTCTTTTAAATGTTGGTGCTGATGAGTAGGAAATCCAGAGCTCTTGTGCTGTGTATTAAGTAGGCCATCATGACTGTCTTGAGGCAAAGCTATTGGCATTACTGGTTAGATTAGCTGCTTTGCTATAGAGTACTATTTTACTGAGTTCTAGGCCAGCCTGGGCTGCAGAGAGAGCAAGAGCCCTTCTCAAAAAAACCCCACAAAAATATAAAAGAAGAAAATTTTACTGTTGAAAAACATACCTGCCTCTGAGCTTGATAGCTTCCCGGTACTTTAAAGGCTTTTTGAGGATTGGCGAGATGGTTCAGCAGGTAGGGGAGCCCATTGCCAAGCCTGGTGACCTGGGACCTGAGTTTGATCCCCAGGATGGTGGTAGGAGAAAACCAACTCTGGAAAGTTGTCTTTTGACCTTTACATGTGTGCCATAGTATGAGCACACACAGAAACACACACGGACACAAATACATAATACATTAAAAATGAAAGTGTTAAGAATATGAACACCAAATTAATAAAAGACTTCTAATTAAGTAATATTAGTGTGATAAAAGTATGTATAATAAAATGTGCTAACTTTTTTTTTTTTTTTGGTCTTTTTTGAGACAGGGTCACCCTGTAGCCACAGCTGGCCTGGATTCACTATGAGACCAGGCTGGCCTTGAATTCACAGAGATCCGCCTGCCTCTTCCTCCTGGGCGTGGGATAAAAGGCATGCGCCACCACACCCAGCAACATTTGCATAGTTCTTTAAACCACTATCTTGCAGGAGACCAGTGCCATAATGTTTCAGAATCTTGTATGAGTAGTTGACCCATTCAAAGGACAAGACAGGCCAATCTGTCTATTTTGTTTATAATTTTTAAATATTTTATGTGTATGAATATATTTCCTGTATGTGTGTAAGTGCACCCTTGTTGTGGAATACCTGAGGAGATCAGAAGAGGGTGTTGGATCCCCTGGACCTGGTGTTACGGATGATTGTTAGCTGCCATGTGGGTGATGGGAACTGAACCCAGGTCTTCTGCAAGAGTAGCCAGTGCTCTTAAACCACTGAGCCATCTCTGCAACCCCTCTGTTCTTGCCAAGGATCCAGGTTTGGTTCCTAGCATCCACATGACATTAACAACCACCTGTAATTCCAGTTCTAGGGTATCTGATGCTCTCTTCTGACCTCTGCCAGCATTGCACAGATGCACTTACATACATGTAGGCAATATACAAATACACAAAATAAAAACGACAAATATTTAAAAAATTTTTTGTTATGTATGTGTATGATATATAGGGGCACATGTGTGCTGCCACTGCTTGTAGAGGCCAGAGGACAACTTTGTGGAGTCAGCTTTTTTCCTTCATTTTTACTTGGATTCTGGGGAATCAAACTCAGGTTGCGAGGCTTGTGCAGCAAATTCTTTACTTGCTGAGCCATTTCAGTAGTATAAACAATGCTTTTTAAATTAAAAATATTTATGACCCAGATGTTGTGGTGCATGTTTAATTCCAGCACTTGGGAGGCAGAGGCAGGCAGATCTTTGTGAATTTGAAGTCAACCTGGTCTATGCAGCGAGTTCCAGGCCAGCTGGGGCTACAGGGAGACCCTGTCTCAAAAAGACAAAAAAATTATTTATGATGGTGCAGTAAATTTACTTCTTAAAGTAGAATAGGCAGCTATATCTCTGAATATAGGATATATTGAAAATATTAGAAAAAAAAAAAATAATCCACACCAATAAAAGCCCTTTGTATCTTCCTAATTTTTGTTTTTTGTGGTGGTGGGAACAGAGCCCAGGACCTCAGTATGACAACAATCGCTTTGCTACATCTCTCACCAGATCCTCATAGTTTTTAACACTGTAAAGGACTTTGAGACCAAATAATTTTTAACACTGCTAGTTTAGATTGAAGTGTTTCTCTTTTTAAAATTTATTGTGTGTGTGCGCATATGTGCGTGTGTGTGCGCGCACGCACTTGTGGGGGAGTTAGTTCTGTCTGTCCACCTTATAAGTTTCAGGGATTTAACTCAGACCTGGCAGCAAGCACTTTTATTTGCTGAGCCATCTAGCTGGCTAATGAAATGTATCTCATATTTAAGAGTCTGTAGGAAAGCCATCTGAGTTTTATGAGGGCTTTGTTAGAACTGTTGGCTTGTGATTAGTGCTTGGCACATAATGGGTACCAAGTGAAAATTTGAATGAAGGAAGGGAAGGAGGGCATACCAGAGAGAAATGTATAGTTTATATAGATTTTGGTGTACTGGGTTTTGACTTGGATAACTTTCTAATTCCATATAGATAAGAAACCTGACCGGGAAGAAATTCAAATGAGCAATATGGGATCAAACACAAAGTCATTAGGTAGGTAATTAATTCCTGCCTACTGTTGCAGAATAGTATAGAATTGGGATGAGTAGCTGTCTACCTAGTAGGTGTTTTTCTTTTCTTTTTAAAAAAATTTTTTGTTTTGTTTTGAGACAGGGTCTCTCTTGTAGCCTCAGCTTGCCTGGAACTCACTATGTAGACAAGGCTGGTCTCCATCGCACAGAGATCTGCCTGCCTCTGCCTCCCAAGTGCTGGGATGGAAGATGTGTATCACCACACATGGCTTTTTATTCTTTTTTTTTTTTTTAAGACAGGGTCTCATGTCACCCAGGTTGGCTTTGAGCTCACTGTGTAGTTGAGGATGACCTTGAATTCCTGATCCTCCTGCTTCCGTGTAGCTCAGGCTGACCTCACTGTGTAGTTGTAGAAGACCTTAATCTCCTGTATCCTTCTCCCTTCATCACCCAAGTGCTGGGATTGTAGACATACAACAAGATGCCCAGCACCTTCTGCATTATTTTAAATTTTTGGTGATACTAAACTTCCAGCTATAATGTCCTTCCCATTTGCTCGTCTGAATTCTCTTCATCCCCAGAAGCTGAGTTCAGGTTCTGTTCTTCGTTAGTGTTTCCAACTGAACCTGCTCACTCTCTTCTCTTGCTTTCAGCAGTCTTCATAGGTAGAGCTCTTCAGCATCATCTTCCATACAGTAGACTATTGTCTTTTTAGTTGTTAGGTTTTGTTGTTTTTGCAGTTGTGGGGATTGAATCCAGGGCCAAGCATTCTACCATTGAACTACATACACGTCCCCAGGCTTGGGTATTTCACACATATTTTCTTCCTCATTAAATTTGTTACATTTTTTTTTTTTTTTTTTTTTTAAAGACACGGTCTCACTATGGAGCCCTAGCTGGCCTAGAACTCATGACTCAGCCCTCAGGTTATATTTAAGTCTTTAAAAACATTATATTTGAGCTAGAGAGATGGCTTAGTGGTTAAGAACACTTGCTGTTCTTACAGAAGACCTAGGTTAAGTTCCCAACACCTACATGGGTATTCACAACTGACTGTAACTCCAGGGGATCTGACCCTTTTTCTTCTGGCCTTCATGGGCATGCACATGGTGCACATACATACATGCAGGCAAAACACTTGTATACATAAATAAATAAAAATAAATCTTTTTAAAAATTCAGACTTTAATGCCTGTTGAAGCATTTGAAAAGCTCACTTCTCAACAGAGGTGTCCAATTCACGTATATCTGCTTAACATATGGTATACTAGCTAGAGGGGAATTTCTTATTTCTGTGTACTTTTTAAAAAATTAGATAACAACTACTCCACGCTGAATGAGAGAGGGGACCACAACAGAACACTGGATCGATCTGGGGATCTGGGTGATTTGGAGCCATTGAAGGGAACACCCTTGATGGTAAATCCTCTTTAAATACTATTGTCTGTCTAATTGTATTTTGAAACCTGTATGATTTATGATGTAGGTGGGAACAAAAGAAAAATGAGGAAGTATCTTTCTCTGGTAGGTGTTTTGAGGAAAAAGTAGAGGTTTTGATGGATCTTGAGATTCCTTGGGATGTTCTGCATTGATCTAAGTGGAAGGAAGTCTGCATAAGTCTTACCAATATGACTAACACTAACTAACCTCTTCTTGCACCTACCTGTTTAGATGTTTTGTTCTTACTGTTACAGTGTTAATTTACAAGTTTTGAGACATCCCCCTAGATCTGGCTCACACTTAGATATTCGTATCTTGACTCTCATACTAACAAATTGCATGTGTTTACAGCAGGACGAGGGGCAGGAATCTCTGGAGGAAGAGTTGGATGTGTTGGTTTTGGATGATGAGGGGGACCAAGTGTCTTACCCCTCCATGGTATGTCCTCCATTCACCCCCAAGATGGTCCTGAGGAAGGAGGTTCCTGTGTGTCAGCAGTTTGTCAATCATACAGATCTGATCAGGCCCAAGACACTTGTCTGAGCCATGCGGGGCCCAAGGGTTCTGCTTCTATGTGATTATTACCTCTTAAGGCTGGGAATGCAGCAGTGAACTGATTCTCCATCGTGTGCTCAACTGTCTTTTTACCAGGTCTTATTCTTAACCTTATTAATATCCTTCTCTTCTTTTCTCTCCTTACAGCAGAAGATTTAGCACCATTCTAAACGCTCCATCTGGGCTTAATATATATATATATAT